GAAGAATACTAAGAATGTGCACACTCATTTTCTCTGCTAAAATACGTGACCATCTGTTTTATCCTTATCCGATCAGAGGTCACAGCGGTCGAGTGACTGCAGTGTCTATATCAAATTGTGGACAATGGCTTGCTTCCATTTCCCCTGTCGACGGATACCTTCGGGTGTGGGAAACCGCGACAAACTATTGTTTCCGTACCTACCAACTTCGGCCACCTCTGGTCGATTCAAACAACTCGCGGCAACCAGACCACACTAATGCTGAGGATGATGATGAAAACCAGCCGATTGAGACGGCCTGTGTCTCGTGGAACCCTAGGTCGGAAATGTGTCTTATTGCTGCAGCCATGTGAGTTTACTGCTCCAATTTCTCCTTCCTCTTTTTATATTCTCAAAAATTACCAAACAACGGTCTTGTAAATGGAAAGTTGAACGCTTGGGTAAAACAAATGTTTGCAGGTTAGGGTAAAATGTGAATGCATAACGTCTGAGCAACCGGGTGTTTGGTTTGGAGAAGCTAGCTTCGGTTTTGGTTTCAGTTGGTGCAGCCCGCCTTCCAGGTCGGGGCCCAAGGAATGAGGATCGTCGTTGGTTAGAGAAGCTGAGAGTGGTTTTTGGGTAATCATACCCCTCCCAATGAAGTTAAACTGTTCTTCTCTCCCTCGCTTTACCTTGTTAACTCTGTGAGTCACTCGGTTTAGATGTTTGTTTGTCAGTCATATGTGGATCGTTGCTTAGGTTGAATGTCTCGATATACAAGTTCAACCGTAAGGTTAAAAAAGCCGGAGCTATGGTTTAAAATGAAGTAGGACCCTCTGAATAAGGAGAAGCAGCTACAGTTCCACTGACCTCAGATTCTAAGTAAACTACCGCCTCCGGATGTATGTGTATTTGCGTTACCTGACGAGTAATAGTGGGGCTACTTACTACCCGTGTAGTCGGCTGTTGGTGCTCTGGCTGTTCGGCAAAAAAGTGATTTGGTACCAAAACAGTATTTTCACTGTTTGGTTCCAGCTAAGTCTGGCAATTCGAGATTGACTGAAAAGCGAGGCTGGAGAAGAAGAGGAGCAACCGTGCATACACGGAAACTCTTCAGTAGCATTCTCAATTTTAAAAAGAATGACGCCGTAAGATCTTAAATTTTTAGTTCCTAAAATTAGTTCATCTATTTTACCAGTGTGATAGTTCGTCTTAGCTGATGTTTGATTTTAGCGGAGCCAGTGTTTAGTAACGCTTAACGAAACAGCCTCAGCTCGCATCCAGATCTTCTCGGCGTGGATGTTTGTTGCATAGACCGAATGTGTGTTTGCAAATAGTGACTCCCCATTTGGTATCGCTTATCTTGACACACGTCCGTTTCTCACCTATCTATGTGCCATATCACCCTCTGGAAATTGCATCATCGGTTCAGCGGGGATACTGTTTTCCTAATCAATCCCGCTCTGGGTGATCGCGTTCGTGTGCAGCAAACAAATAGTGGTCTTTCACAATGGTGGACTTCTCGAACGGTCTCTGATCACGCACCGGTAAGTGTTCTCTCCCCCCCCTCGCCTCCTCTCCCCATAGTTTGTTTTTTTCTCCGGAGCCGTCACTGAGGGATATGCATATTCATCTTTCACTTGTAAGTTTGTGCCATTACTCTTCACTTCGCAATGTTCGTAACGTTTTCTCTTACTCACTCTGCTCTTTCCCCGGTTTTTCGTCATCTCTCATCTTGCGCTCCACCTTAGGTCGGTTTTCAGCTTTCCGTTCAGAACGCCCTCTTTTACAGAAGGCAACCACTTCTGTCCCTGTTGAATATTTCTGGGCTACTTTTTCTTCTATTTATGCATAAGCTTTATAACTGAATCCGTGAACAGTCTTAGGGATTCAACTCAAAACGACGTCTCCAAGTCTACTCGAGATTTTATTCATTCATACCACTCTGTTCCTTGCACAGTCATATTCTGTTGGTAGGGCAGCATAGTGATGATGGTGACGATGATAATGATGGATCAAATTCGCCAGTCGCGTTTCTTTCTGTAGAGATTTAATTGTTTATTTTGACAAAAACGCCCGACACACGCGAAAAAAGCTGCTGATCGTTCGTTATTATAGATTTAGTGGATCAGTGCTCACATTCAAGATTAACCATCCAAGTTCTTATCGGCGTACAACTTCATTGACAGCACATATGTAGTTCCCGACGCTGCTCAACTTCAGAATATGCACTGGATAGACGCATCGTTAGTGTTCGTATCTCATTTCCACTTTGGTTTTCGATCCTTCCTTCCCAAGTGCCTACAACCGGGGTCTGTGTGAATGGGTGTCGGCCAACAAATTCCAAGAACCACCGAGATATGAAGTTATATATATATATATATATATATATATATATATATATATA